AAGTGCTCTTTCACTGAGCGACATACCCAGTCCCAGTCCTCATTTCTCATTATTCCTTTTTATGACACTTCTTTATCACTGGGCAGAGAGACCAATCACCAGGAACCACAGCTGAATGTGTAGTGATAAGGTTCACTGCCTATTTATCATATAGATGGATAGACATTACAGATGTGCTTCAGGTGACAAAGGTCCTGAGAGAAGAGCTGACTTTCTACCAGCATCTCAGGAATGTTCATGTGTCTAAATCTTTAATGCTTTGAAATAATATATTTCATCAATCTCAAGTTTCCCCCACTGCATCTTATCTTTTTGATTGTTGGTAGATATTGCAAATGCAGAAATGATTCTTGACAGGACAGAAAGAGCCAAGTTGAACTTTAAAGTTTGTACCTTATTATATCTTTGCAACAAAAATCCAAGGTACAAAAATCTTAGTAACAAAAATTCAAGGTACAAAGATCCAGTAAGGTGGCTAGGTCATGGTTGGGAACACCGCTATTCAAGTCTATACATGAAGGAAAAAAAATCTTTGGCCCCAAATACATAATGTCAATTAAATTTAATGTAGAATAGAGACTTGCTTTGTAGATTAACTTTCCTAATAACCACTGTTGGAAATAGTCTTCTAGTTCACACCTTGTACCACAGGGATTCTGTTGAGGGAGTTCCCATTGAAGGTGTCTGTTTAGCTGGAAGGACTGAACCCTTTACACAATGATGCAAGGCATTCGACATGGAAATAAATCTGGAGAGGATGATCCATCAACTCTAATCACATTTACCAGTGACTGTTGCTCAGAAGAACTGTAGAGGTAAAAATAAAATGTAAAACAAAAATTATGAGTAAAAGCAAATTTTATCAAATTAAGGAAAAGAAACATTGGCTGCTTGAAATCAACCCCCAGTAATCTTTTACAATATTATTTTTTGGACTTCATTATTTTTTAGAAAGTGTTCAGAATTTATAATACAAATGGAAAATTATTGTAGGGATGATATCTGATAATTTTCTGTTGTATTGGTGCATGTAGGATCAGAATAATACATTCTTGACAATCAGAGGTGAAGCTTTTGCACATGCAAGCAGCAGCACCAATGAGCAGCAACTCATCCCCACCTGTAGCTCCGCTACTTTGCTATGAGAACCTGAATGGGTCCTGTATTAAAACTCCCTACTCGCAAGGGCCCCGGGTGATTCTCTATGCAGTGTTTGGCTTTGGGGCTGTGCTGGCTGTACTGGGAAACCTGCTGGTGATGACTTCCATTCTCCACTTCAAGCAGCTGCACTCTCCAACCAATTTCCTCATCGCCTCTCTGGCCTGTGCTGACTTTTTGGTGGGAGTGACCGTGATGCCCTTCAGCATGGTCAGGTCCGTGGAGAGCTGCTGGTACTTTGGCCGAAGTTTCTGCACTTTTCACACTTGCTGTGATGTGGCATTTTGCTACTCTTCTCTCTTCCACCTGTGCTTCATCTCCATTGACAGGTACATTGCTGTTACCGACCCTCTGGTCTATCCCACCAAATTCACGGTATCTGTGTCAGGGATTTGCATCTGCATCTCCTGGATCCTGCCCCTGGTGTACAGTGGTGCCGTGTTCTACACAGGTGTCTATGATGACGGTCTGGAAGAATTATCCAATGCCCTCAACTGCATAGGAGGTTGTCAGGTAGTTGTCAATCAAAACTGGGTGCTGATAGATTTTCTTTCTTTCTTTATACCTACGATTGTTATGATAATTCTGTACGGTAATATTTTTCTTGTGGCTAGAGAGCAGGCTAAAAAGATTGAAAATGTTAGTGGCAAAGCAGAATCATCCTCAGAAAGTTACAAAGCCAGAGTGGCCAAGAGAGAAAGAAAAGCAGCCAAAACCTTGGGGATCACTGTGATAGCATTTATGATCTCATGGTTACCATATAGCATTGATTCATTAGTTGATGCTTTTATGGGATTTATCACTCCTGCCTATATTTATGAGATCTGTGTTTGGTGTGCTTACTATAACTCAGCCATGAATCCTTTGATTTATGCTTTATTTTACCCTTGGTTTAAGAAAGCTATTAAAGTTATTATTAGTGGTCAGATCTTAAGGAACAGTTCGGCAACCATGAATTTGTTCTCTGATCAAATGTAAGCAATTGGATTGAAGAAGTGGAAGAGTCCATTTAAAAAATTATAGTGCATTATAATTATACATATTAGTTGGATTTGTTGTTACACATTCATAGATTCATACAACATAATTTGTTCAATTTCATTCTCTAGTATGCAGATATCTTTAAGATATCCAAATGAAGACTGTGGTAGCATGCTTGTCTAGCATACATGAGGCCTTGGGTTCAATCCCCAGCTACACAAAATTAAAAAACAAAGCAAAATAAAACCCAAATGAAGTATTTTAAAAACTCAAGAAAGATTACTGATGAATACAAATAAATTGCTCTTCAAATAGATAGGATATGCCCATGTTTTCAGTCATGTTAAGATGTCTCTGTCACTTCTCCAAAAATATTAACTTGACTATTAAATATCAAGTTATTATTTTAATTGCTCAGAGCTCAACATATCTCATCCCTGAGGACACTTCCCTCCCTCCTCTTTTCCTTCAAGTTACAGAATTTCCGTTTGTTGTGGTATGAAAATATCTTTGTTCTCCTTTGATTCCCTTTCCTTTTCTCCTTACAAAGTTTGCTACTTGATCATAGCCTGTTAAAAATTTCATGCATGAATAGCCTTTCTGGATTCTTGTTCTCTTTTACCTTTTTTTTTTTTAATAATTTTTACCAAAGGAGCCTCTTGGGTAGCTGCTTAATCTATTCAGTCTGATGGGAGATCTCAGGTGTGGGGGCAATTTTCAAATATAGACATCTTCTTGACCAGATTGTTGTGATTGTCTAACAAATTACTATCCTTCTGTGTCATCGTATTCCTTCCCAAAGTAGGAGGCAAAAGCTCCCATGGTTACTAGAATGGTGTTAGAGTGATCATGTGGCTTCTCTTCTTGCTATTGCTGGACACTGAATAGTTTGGATGGTCAATACCCTGTGTTACAAGCTTCTGTTTAAACACAATGACTATCACTTGTTCTCTTGGAGGGGGAATCTCTTTTTCACTGTGGTCTCTAGTTCTCTTTCATTTTCTTTTAAAAAAAGCTTAATCAGAATAGAGAATTTGTAAGGCCGGTGGAATATAAATCAATAACAAACATTCAGATATCCATTCATTTTGTTCAATTACCAAACAGGATGTATGCCTACACCATATTGAAATCTGTCCTCAGAGCCTTGGATGCAAATAATAACATTTGTCTTTAATAAGCTTTGACTCTAGCAAGATGCAATGTTGGTCACGGTGGACAGGTTTTAAAAGGACAAACACTAGCTCAAGCAGGTAATGGAGGTTCACATCCATGGTGAGCAGTCTTCTTGATGGCATGTATTCTTGATGTTATGCGAAGAGAAGGACCTTTTATCTTGTGAACACCCCTCCACAAACATATAAAAAAGATATAAGAAGAATTCTCATTAAGGACTACACAGAATTCATGACTGGTGTCTTTATACTGTTAAGGTCATCAAAAATAAGGAATGTGAGAAATCGTCCCAGTCTAGAGGAACCTGAAGACACGTGGCAACTACATGTGCTGTGATATCCCAAATGGGAAGCAGAAGCAGAAAAGGGATATCAGGGAAAGTGAGGAAACCTGAATAATGAATGTTCTTTTTATTAATATGTTAATGATAATGTACCAACATTTGTTTATAGGTTGTTATAAATGCACCATACTAAATAAAATGATAATTAGAGAAAGTGTGGGTAAGTATATAGAAACTATCTGCATTATCTCTGCAACTTTTTTGTAAATCTAAAACTACTCAAAATAATGTGTGTGTGTGTGTGTGTGTGTGTGTGTGTGTAAATGGAGTATACAATTCTTGCTTGATGAATTTTCCAACTGGTCTACCTGAGGACAACAAGGCACATCCCTTACGTTCATTCACTTCTCCACTCTACAAATGTCTGTGAAGGATAGTGTGTACCAAGTTTTGGGTTCAGTTTGATTAGAAACAGAAAACAAAGAATGCAGAATCCTCAGTGGGAAAAAAAAAACAAGTTGCCAATAATTATGTCTTATAATTCATAGGACTTAAAGCTCTAAAAGATACATTTGAGGAGCACAGAGGAAAGGAGAATTCATATGTGAATGGCAGACCAGGAAGACAAAGAAGTAGCATTTAGCGTAGGCCTTAAGTTATAAAAAGATTTTTGAAGGAAAGAAGAAATGGGAAGAGATTATCAAGCTGAGGGAAGAGCACGAGAAAATAAACCAAGAAAGTATAGTTTTCAGAGAATATAGAGATAAAACAATTAACAACCACACAAAGAGTACGCACCCTTTAAAGCTTCCTGGTGTGAGCATTACATAAAGTTATTCCAAGGAAAAGAGTTTCTGTATCAGTAATGTTTGAGATAGTTTGCATACTATATCCTGCTCTTGGAGTATACCACTATCCAAAGTCCTATTAAAGACTCTGAGAAACCCTGCTTTAACAAAACCCATCTAACCTTGTTTAAATATGAATTTAAAAAAAAAATGTTTAACCCATGAAGACCTCTTTGAGGTGAAAGGCTGAATAATAGGACTCCTGTCCTAGGAAAATATTGGTCTATATCATTGATTTGGTACTTATCAAATACATTCCTCATTTTGTCTTGGTATTTTTCACTATAATCCAGCAAGTTCAATGTGAATTTTTTTGTACAATTTTACTTATTTATTATTTGTTATTCTTAGGTATACATGACAGTAGAGTGTATCTTGACATAATATACATACATGGAGTATGGCATTCTTATTAGGATCCCATTCTTGCAGTTCAATGTATATTTCTAAAAGGCAAAGATGGGTTTAGAACTCACAGTATAATAATGAATAATAATACTCATGATGTACTTATTATCAACTGTGATATATAAGATAAATTATATGACATGTAATACACAACACAGTGTGATTTAGGAAGACGAAGAGAATGCTAAAGGCTGAGGAAGCTGAGAAAGTCCCTTGGAGAGCTCAGAATATAGCCTGAGCGTGGATCACTCATTTAAATAGAATAAAAGTAGAGAGACAATTCCTACTCAGAGTAAACTTTCATGAAATACATAAAGTTTGTGGCATTTCAAGCATCATTAAGCATACAAAACAAACAGTCAAAACACCAGTCAGTACAAAGCAGAGTGTTTGTGTTGGATTGCCACAATCAATCAACAGTATTGTTTTAGACCCTATCATTACACCACCCAATGAACAACCATAACATAACTAATATGTGATTATTGAGAACATGAAAAATGTTAGTCTGAATTGAGGTAGGCTGTAAGTAGGAAATGCCTATCAGATTTGCACAAACCTAACACAAACAAGCACGTAAAATCTCTCATTAATTTTTATATTAATTACATGTTGAAATTATCAATTTTTATATATTGAGTTAAATTATGAGTTAAATGCAATTTTTAAACTTTTTCAAGTTGGATACTAGAAAAGTCTTAAACTACATACGTAGATCATAACATATTTCTATAGGACAGTTGTACTTTATAGAGAATAAAAATGAATTATAAGACCTGATTCAAGCCCTTTAGGGCTTAAAAATTAGGATTCTAGCCCTTAAGGGTATAAACGTAACAAGTAAGTAAAAATATATGAACCATGATAAAACTAGAATATTTATTTCCAACTGATGTGTATAAAAATGCATATAGAACTTATTCCTATGTTTGACTCATTTTACAAATGAGAAAATTGGGATCTTATAGAAGCAAAGTAATTTGCAAGAAATTATACAGTTAGTAAAAATCTCTTTGCCAAAATTTGAATTCAAAGCATTGAATTTTAAGCTCAAATTATTTTTTTTTTACAGAAATGAGAATTTAAGAAAAAAAGAGTGGATATCACAAAATAATACAATTAAGTAAATGCTACCCATAAGAAGGTACACAGCATTCAGAGTTTATCATGCAAGCTAGTAGCTGGTAAACTTTAGATCATAGTCACATTAAAAATATACTAAAATCTAAGTGCCCACTTCCAAGAAAAAAATTCACATAATCACATTTTCATAATATTTAGCGTCCTATTCCTAAGTTCCCAAACCCCTGAGGTCATGGATACACTGCTTCCAAGTCAGACCCAACTTAAAGTGGTTGAAGTATAAAAACTTCAACAATCTCTGTAACTTTAACATAAGAGAAGTTTATTTCTTGTTCATGTGAAGTCTGGTGTGAATCCGGAACACTATTATGTGCAGCAGTCCTCAATATCTGTGATGCAGACCCCTTTGATTTTGTGGTTCCATCTTTTTAGCAAGAGACCCGTTAGTGCCTCAACTGGAGTAAATTATCAGGGCCGTTTATGAAGAGCAGAACCAAGCAGGCAGCCCCACCTAGTGGTTGGGAAAGGTAAGGTGAGCAAGTGCTGTTGGTGCGCCTCTGCTGTGTTGTGTGTTAAGTCATATCTCTCAGGATTTGGATTTGGCACAGACTGGCTTAAACCTATTAGAGTTTATTAAGTAATAGTAAAACTGAAAGAAGAGATTTCTGGCTTTGGTTTGGTTATTATGATTTAAATATTGTGATTATGATTTAAATTATGATTTAAATATAGTTTTTAAATCTAAAGCACCTTAGAGTTTAGGGTGCCATGATTCCATGATAATGTCATTACTGGTTCTGGAGTGACCACTGGAACTTCAGCCAAATCTCGAATATTCCTGGACGCAGGGAGGAGCAAGAGACAGGGAGAGAGGGCTTTCCTGGAGCCTCTCTCAACAACTACAGCTTCATCTATGGAGGAAAGATTCTGATGCCATGGAGAAAGGAGGCCATGGCCATTAGGTGAGAAATAAGCACTTCTTCCCTGAAATAATTGAGAAAATGAAACCTAACAACAAAAACAAAATTCCTTGACAAATCTTCTCAAATGCATTTTCTCTACAAATTCATAAGAGAGTGAATTGAGAGAGACAGGACAGAAGAAAATAACTAAGGTTTTCTCAATGACCTCTCTGACCTTTTAAAATTCTCCTTTAGTATTATTTTTTTCAACTAATGAACATTTATTCAGCACAATGT